TCTCATACATGACGTCCAGCACACACATCAGATGATTCATGACAAGTTTGGAAAGGTCATCTTGTTCAACATAGCTTCAGATGCCGTTGATCGGCGGATGCGAAATCTGGCTCCGCAGTAAAGCTGCTAGGGCTGCTTGCTCCAACTCCGGGCGAAGTGGAAAGCCTGTTGCAAAAAGGGTGTAAAAAGGGACCCTACTTCAGAAAACTACCCAGTTGTTGTACAGCATAGCAAGAAAACTCAGTCTCGAAGCCTGCGAACCCCACAAGCCTAAGCAGGGAGACCCCACAAATTTCGAGATGCGTGTGAGTCGAAGAGGGCTGAGAGTCTGGGACAAGTTGGGATCAGGGTTTAGGGATGTTTAGGGTTTAGGGATGTTTAGGGTTTAGGGATGTTCAGAGTCGGCGGACGAGTGGCTACCTACCAGGCGTCGTTCTTGCAAGCCTGCAGCAAAAGGGATGTTCAGAGTTTAGGGATGTTTATAGGGTTGGGGGTTTAGGGACCTCTATAGGTTCTAGGACCAGGGGTTGGGGAATTGTTATGGATATTTGGGTTGTGTATGGCCAAGGCTCACGTGGTAGGGTCAAGCAAGCTACCTGCGAAAATGGAGGCTATGATTGCTAAACACAAGACTCCCAAATGATTTTTTCTGTGTCAAGCCTCATCGAGAACAAAGGTGTTAATTAAAGTGCCTAACCTCCACGTTTAGGGTGTTGTGGCGAAACCTCGCCTGCCCCGTGCGAGCGTGAGAGTCGAAACCCCGAATAGTTCCTAAATCCTGAACCCTTATGATCAAGCATTACACCCTGTCAACCCTAGGCCATGTCAGACCTAACGTTTAGATCTCAAGTTTTTAAGCCCTAAGCGCCACAATGCTGAGGACAGGCGATCCACTCAGCTTTTTCCCGCTCAGTGGCTGGGCGAATGGGACTTTGCTGCCTCTTCTCGGGTTTCAGGTTTGTGGGCTTTGGCACTGTGGGTTTGGGGGTAGTACCCTCATGACCGTCCTCTGGTCTGGTTTCTTGCCAGTCTAAGCGAACAGGAGAAGAAGGAGTACGTGTTATATATGATCATCATCATGGAGTCGCCGCAGAACTTGAGTTCTGGAATTGCTGTTTTAAAATGTTGCTGTGGTGAAACGAGACTGTATACACAGAATTCACTTCAGTCCCTATCCCCCAAGCCCAGACCCTGAACTCCCAAAACCCTGCCTAGTGCCAGTGTCAAAACCCCGTCGGAAGCTGCGAGAATTCGGGTCTGAGGATCTTCAGGTCCCCCACAAAAGTACCCTTAAAGTTGTGTTGTTAAAGGGGGTTGTGTGTACTTTTTGGTGTGTTATATGTACTTTTCGTTGGTTTTATATGTACTTTTATTGTGTTGGTGATTTAGAGCTCCACAAGGGTCTTAAGACTAGGTTCCCCAGTAGTCTGTCTGGTGCTTAGTAGGGAATGCGGGAATGGGTTATAGGGACTACTATAAGGGACCTTCAGGGACTATCATAGGGATCCCTAAACCCTAAACCCTAAACCCTAAACCCTTCCCCCATTCCCTACTAAGCACCAGACAGTAGTGCCTTTCGGCAGTTTGTTGCCCCCAGCAGGGCCGCGGAGCCTTGGCTCTCGAACGACTCGCGACAATCTTAAACCCGGAGGATCCCAGACTATCGAAGCCATGCCTGCCCCTGGGGTCCATGTACCCAAATAGTATATACTTTGGCCCCAAAGTACATATATTTGGACGACTTTAAGGCCAAAGTATCTACTATTTGGTACATGGAGCCTTAGGGTGCCTTGTGCGAATGTGTTAGTCGAAACCCTCCGGGGCTTTAAACGCTTTTGTGAACCCCAAAGTCTAGCACATTTTCAGGTGGGTAGTTACCGTTATAGGAGCCTTATAGAAGGTCTAGATACCTTATAGACGCCTTATAGAAGCCCTATATACCCTAAACTCCCCACCTGTAGTTTCTTTTATATAACCAAAGACAGCCTGATCTGACACCTTGGAGGGACCAGTCATCTTGAGGCCTTGCCTGTCTTGTGCAAGGGAGAGTCGAAAGCCCTAAACCCCGATAACACCACCACCCCATATGGGTCGTCTCCTAAAGTAGGCCAAAACAATCCGGCACCCTTATAATAAGGATCAAAGGGACCCTAATTTAGAGAACCTCCCATATCCTCACCTAAAAAGTCCCAAGCAACCTAAATCTCAGGTGAGCTTAACAAGCACCAGATCATAGCTCGCGGCCTTTTTGATCGAAAATTAGCTGCACTTGGATGCCAAGCGCAGCATGTGTTGTTTCTGCCTAGGCTGCAGGTTCCGGGGCGCATAGCACCGACAAAATGATGATTGTAAGAAGCAGAACGTCCATATAAGCATGATCACGACAAGCAGGCACCCAAAAGCAGGCCGTATGACAATCGAACCGCAGGAATTTCAATTTTCCAGACTGTGATCCGATGGCACCCTGCATAGTCGAGTGGCGTGACGGGCCGATACTGTACTATGCAAAAATATAACAAGGAGTCGCCAACTGCGAAGTTTACTATCAACTATGCATGGGTAGTTCTCTATTTTGGGTCCCTTTTTAGGACCCCGAAAGAATCGGCACCCTCTAAAAAGGACCCTAAACGGGCCCCTAAAATAGAGAACTGCCCATATGGGTCTCTAATATGATTCCTTGTATTTCTCCTTATCAAAAGCTCTTCAAAATGTTGGGGTTCTCAGATAGAGTACTGTAGTTGTCACACCCGATAAGCCCTAAGCGAACTACTGTTAAAGTCCGTTTGGGAGAAGCCTGCATGGATGTCGCGCTATCCGCTGGGACAGAGCATCAACAGGTTTTTGATACCCAACGTCGCATGAGCCTCTGTCTTAACATCAGGTGGTAAAACTGCAAGCCACCCTGCACTAATATTCAAAAGCCTTGTCGCTTCAGGATTAGATGTCCCCTTCATTTGCATGCTGCAACCCAGCCTATGAGCAGCCTGTTCGCCGTGGCCACCAAATCTTTAGCACGGAAAGAGTCGAACTATGCAAACCGAACAACATGCGCGCACGCGGTTGTTGTGACTTCATGCTGCCGTTCATTCGGCTCGACTGTCAAAACCTTTGTGAGAAGCTTGGGTTTAGGGTTTAGGGTTTACGTAGGCTTTGATGACGGAGCTGCCACCAAGGCTACGAGCTTGTCGTGCTGCACGGCTGGTTGTTTCGAGCAGTCGAGTTGGAGACTTGCATTGCAATCAGTCTGCTTCGACCTCTTCTGATAGCAAGAGTCGGGAAACAGCTCAAGACGACTCTGGTGACGAGGATGCAACAACAAGGCATGAGTAGCCTGTGTAAGTTGAAGAAGTAGCCAGCTTATCATAAATTCAGGCGTCGTTGAGTTGAGTTGCCTAACCAGGCACAACTACAGCTCCATTTTGCTATACAGATTCCCAAAATCTGAACCCAAAAGGTCGTGGATGGTGAAGGTTAAGAATCTATCCAAGCCCTAAAACCTAGACCCTAATGACCAGACTCGCCTGAATCGTCCAAGTCGCGAGAGTCCAAACCCGAAAAGCCTATAAGCCACCAAACCCAAAACCTCCTAAACCCTACCCTAAGCCTTGAGAAGCCTGGACCCTTAAACCCTGTCCGAAGCCCTACACTACACAGCCCACTCCCCGAAACGCCTGCATTTCTAGGATCGGATGAGCCGACAGCAGGGCCGCCTGTGTCGAGACGGGGCCCAAGCTCCGGCCTATCAAGAGTTCTTCATGTGACTTGTAGATTTAGGGTTTAGGGATATAAGGTGTTACAGATTTTGCAGGGTGTCTTGCGGGTTTATAGTTCTTCATGTGACTTGTATATACCCATAGGCCCCGTAGTAGTTCCTTTTTAGGATTAGCTAATAGGATCCTAAATTTAAGCCACAAAAAGGAAATACTATGGGGTCTATGGGTAAGGTGTTATAGATTTCGCAGGGTTTCTTGCGGTTTTATAGTAGTTTATAGCGTTCCAGTCTTTTCAGGGACTATGGGGTTTATGTAGGGCAACGGAGGGTTTGGGGACGTATAGGCTTTAAGGGCTGAGGGTCCAACGCGGTGAATCTACGGGTACTGGAAGGGTTCTGAACGGTTCAACACATGAGGATGCTATGGAAAAGGGTTCCACAAGGTCACTGCGGGGTTGCTGAAGGCTCACTCTCGGGAACTCTCGGCTGTCGGAAATTTGGCTTCGGTGTGCAGACATGGTTGATACGGGATCCGTAGGACTGTATGAATCATGGAGTGTTTTGGAGATATATGATGTATAGGGGTTGAGGGCGGCGCTTGAAAAACATTTTGGCATCACTTTGGCGCTTGTGAACAAGAAACTTGCAGCATGGGGTAACACAGATCCTGCACAATAATGCTGGGCTCCTGGACTCTACACAGACCCCGACACCCTTACGTAGGGCTGGTACGTGACAAGCTTAGAGTGACGATGCACGCTGGAACTCTACCCGGGTAGAGGAAGCTTGCTCTAGGTCTCGAGTGCCTTAGCCCCCTACACCCTAAACCCTAAAACCTATCCTAGGTCCGAAGGCAAGCTGGAATACATGAAGGCCCAATGGACTTAGTAAGTAAAGTTGTAAGTAATAGTTAGCTAGGATCAGTCTACATAGGAGACTCAACCCCCAATGGTAACCCTAATACTTACTAAGTCCCCTGTGCCCTTGAGTAAAGTCTATCTTATAAGCCCTGACCCTAAACCCTACACCCTAAACCTCTATACCCTAAACCCTAAACCCTTAAACCCCAAACCCCTAACCCCTAAACCCCAAACTCCAAACCCTAAACCCTCAATCTGACCCTAAACTGGCCCCAAACCCATGGAAAACGAGAGCTACAGAAGTAGGCTTTGGAGATCCCAGAGTCAAGGCTTCCGAATTGATGCCAGGCGGGGTTTAGGGTTTAGGGTTTGAACGAGAAGGCCCTGCTGTTGAGGTGTTCGCTGGCACACAATCCAAGTCCATGCTGAAAAGGGGTTTAGGGGTTTGGGTTTAGCTGGTTGGCAGAGTCTGGGTTCAAAAAAGGGCTTAGGGGGTCTGCTAGAAGGGCATGCAGGCTTACAAATATGTCTTGGTAGTAGAGTAGGTAACCGACGGAGGTTGCGAGCCAGTTGCAAAGGGTTGAGGGCTTTACGAGGCAGCTTCGGTATCGGCTCTGTCGTGCCAAGATGATTGCAGAACTAGACTTTTCCCAGCAGTAGCAGTAGTCAGACGATTGCGATGTAATCTAGGGGCCTCAATATTACCTATATTATTTTGGGGGTTCCTTCTTATATTTATACTATAAGGGACCCCAAAACCCTATTCTAATTATTAAGGCCCCTACATTAGGGTGTCATGGCTCAGAAACCTTTCAATCTCCAAGCTCCAAAGCATGTGCCTGAGGTCGTGAATGTCATCGATGCCTCCGGGTGCACCTTGTCCAAGGCCCGCTCCTCAAGAAGGAGTCTAACGCAAAATCCGCCGACCAGCAAACCCAAACCCCAGGCCTGTCTTAAACTCCCAGAACCTACTTTTGCAGGACCCCTCCAAAATCTGTGTTACGAGCACGGTTTGCTTCAGGAAATGGATTTTTTGTTATTTAATTTTTTCGCGGCAGCCTTACACGCTTGTGGTTCCGACGCTGCATATAGTCCCCAATGTAGTTCCTTGTTTTGGCTACCCAACTCTGTGGAGTAGGATCGTTTCTACAACAAGCAACCACAACAGAGACTGTCGCTAGTTCCAGGGTTGTGGGAATTCTCGTGAGGGTCGGGTTTTCAAGGCAGCAGAAGCTAGGAAACCCTAAACCCTAAACCTTCTGTCGCCTGAGGTGATTTGCCGGGACTTTGACCGGCGAGCGGAGAAGATGATGCAGCGGTTAGAGCTTATTGGCTGCACGCCGGTCAGGGTGTGGGGTTAGGGTTTAGGGGTTGAGGGTTGAGCTGCTGCTTTCTAGGATCGTAAACTGACTGGTCAACCCTTCACCCTAAGCTTCTTTGGCTTTTAATGTGTCGTTTTCCGTAAACTTGAACACCAGCTCGTCGTTGGCATGTAGTATGGGGGCCTAAATAAGTACCTATATTATTTTTTTGGGGGGTTCCTTATTATAGTTATAGTATAAGATACCCCAAAACCCCTAATTATTAAGGTCCCTATATTACCTGGCTAGGAGATGTTTCCAGTATGGCATTTTCAGGGTGCTAGTTTCGGGTCTGGGCTCGTCGCAAAAAACAAAGGCTACGGTTTAGGGTTTAGGGGGTTTCGGGTTTAGGTTGTTGGGTTTCAATCTTAGGCAGGGGGATTCAAAGCCGACCGGTTTTGTGAAACAAGAGCCTTTCGATTAAGGCTTGCTCTAGGGCCTGAACTCCCAGAATAATGTAGGAGCTTAAATAATCAGGATAGGGTTTTGGGGCCCATTACTATAACCATTAGGGTTTTGGGGCCCATGATACTATAATTATTAAGGACCCCCGAAGCCCTATTCTAATTATTAAGGCCCCGACATGACACGGGTTCCACTCAAACCATCCTGTGCCCACTTTTGGCTTCGGAAGCCTGGGGGCTGAACCCTGGTTGCACCTAGTTACAGACCCTAGCCCTAGGGGTCCAAAGGACCCAATAATTAGGTACTTAGGTTTCGGATAGTAGTTATGTAGGTTACTATTTTGGAGAGTATATGACTGTTAGGTACTTGAACCCTTAGGGTAGGCTATCCAGAAGTATGTTACTGGGCTATAGCGCGTTCTAAGGCATTACGGAAGAGTGACGTATACATACATTCACATATAGCATAGATCAAAAAGATGTAGGTATAAATATACATGTAGGTATACGTAGGTATACATGTAGGCATATAAACACTTTGCATACATACACGATTAGATTATGGTTTTACTTGCTTGAAACCTGGCTCCCCAAGGAAGCTGGTACCAGACCTTACCGCCGGAAACTGGGTTCCGCGGCAGCGATGAGAAGGTTTGTAGTTTCAAGCTTAAGGGTTTAGAGTTTACGGTAGCTCCTATCTTGCTGTTCCAGTTATATGTCCTCGAGTTGCGACACTTTTATTTGTTATGGGCAGCTTGGCGCTTCAATTTGCACTAGGTTGTGCACCTTCTTCACGTGTCGGGCACAGGTGATCAACGCGCCGTGGATCATGCAGAGACTGGGCTACAACTAGCTTGAGTCCTGCAGCTGCAGGTGTAGCGCATGTCTAGGAACTTTCTTCAGCTTGGCCCGATGCAGACTGTCCTAGAGCTTCAAAACGCTTTGTTTCGGGCAGAGCTTTGATATAGACAGAGAGAAACAAGAACAAACGAGAGAGAGGGAGAGGCCCACTCACGTAGATATCATACCGAACTTGCCCCCAAAGCCCCATAAAACATGGGGGGCCACAAGGCCAGGGGACTTTACCCGTCCCCTACGCCCAATGAAAGAAAGAGAGAGCGAGATGCACTGAGATACGAGCAAGGCTAACCAGCTAATCGCAGAATTTTCGAATTCTCATCTCTATGGCGTGAAACCATACCTTTTACGACAATTTTGGCAATGTCCGAGATCTCCAAGAGCTGCGCATCGTGTCCCAGCGTTGCCCCACCTTGTTTTGCATGCCTGCTTGGAGGCGTTCAGAGGGCCAGCACCCTGATGCCTCAACAGCTATGTCGCAAGCCCTACAAAGTTCGTGCAAGCCACAGCGTGGATAAGATCTAGGCTCAACACCCCCTAGTTTCAATTGCCATACTTCAGCTGACTTGAACTGTACAGAACGTACTTCTCTAGGCTTCTCTGCTTCGATGTCCTTTGTCGGGAACCCAGCCAAAGCACCCAAACGTAAACACACACACACACATTGCTCTGTTTAAAGAGGGAAGTAAGGGATGTCCCAACCCTATGGATTTTTTGTTTACGTGCTTTTTGCGGCCCCTACTTGTTGTATATCTTCAAGGAGGCATAAGCTCTTGTTTTGGGTGGTGTTGCTGGTAGATCACACGCCTGAGCTCTCAACGACCTTTCGTCAAACCACAGGAGAATGGCGAAGTTCCTTTCAGGTGGCCCTTACCCTCAAAGGACTCATATGTTAAGGCTTTTGGGCCCAAAGACCCTATTATATAAGGCTTTTGGGCTATTGTGATGCTAAGTTTAGGGTTTAGGGTTTAGTCAGTTTAGGGCTTAGGGTTGTAGGGTTTAGGGTTTCGGGTCAAGGGTTGAGGGTTTAGAGTTCCGGGTCCTGCAAGGAAGATCTTCCCTTGGGCCAAGAAGACCTTGAAGATCAAGGCATCGACGTGCCAAACATTTCCGAGAACAACTCCGAGAAGCACAGCTACCTATGTACGAGAGTGTGTATGTACGTATGTATGTATGTATGTATGTATGTATATATATATATATATATATTATACAATTATTACTCTCCCCCTGAACCCGTATACACCCTGAACCCACTACCTCGGTCACGGGGCCTCCACAATCTGTTGGGCTCCGAGTCTTCCGGATCTCGGGATTCAAAGTCGAGGGTTTGGGGTTTGGGGGTTTAGGGGTTTAGGGTTTGGGGTTTAGGGTTTAGGTTTTGTTCATTTTCAGGTGGGAGTCCTCTAAGAAAGACTGTATTCACAGACATCATGCTGAAGTTTTGGTTGTTAAATCACCTTAACAGGACAAGCCCCAGGTTCTGTTGTCCACTGAACACTTAAGCCCAAACTGCCGACATCTACAGCGAAACTCTTCGCCCCAGCCTTTTCAGAATGCCTGATGAGTTTAGGGTTTAGCTAATTTAGGGCTGCTTGCTGTCATGTCACTTTCCCGGGCCGACTGCCCAGGTCCGGATGCAAAAGCGATGAGGGGTTTGGCGTTCAGGGTTTATGGGCTGAGGGTTTTAGGGTTTTGAGGTAGGCTTAGGGTTTAGGGTTTGGGGCTTAGGGTTTAGGGTTTTGAGGTAGGCTTAGGTTTAGGGTTTGGGGTTAACGAGGTACGTAGGCTTAGGGTTTAGGGATGTTTAGGGCGTAGGGTTTAGGGTTTCGGGTGCGAATGCTAGATGACATTCCGAAGCCTGGGGGCTCCGCAGGTAGACAACTGGTTCCTCTGCCAGGGGAACGGCGAGCAGGACCCTTGGCGCACGAAACTTGAAGCCCCAAGCCGTAAACCCCTAAACTCTAAATCCTAAACCCCTAAACCCTAAAACCCTAAACCCCTAAACCCTAAACTCTAAACCCCTAAACCCTAATCCCTATAAGCCTTAAACCCTAAAGCCCTCTAAACCTCAATCTCTACGCTCTGGCCTTGCTAAGCGTCGCCGAACCAGTATCGTTTGCAGACCTTGCCCAGCTTCGCCCGAGTGTGACAATGTTCCGAACTCTAAACCCCCAAGCCTTGCTTCTCAAATTAATGTAGGGGCCTGTAGGGGCCTGAGTAATTACCAATACTATTGGGGGGTTCCTTATTAGAACTAACCTGATCGGAGCCACGAACCCGAATGCAGTTGCGGGCCCGATCGCAGCAGGATTATCAGTTCTAGATTTCGCGACCAGGACCTCCTCCATCCCTGTGACTGTTGACACTTTTGGAACGCGAGGTTCAAAAAGTGACCACACAGTTCTGCGTTTCGCGATGGTTTTCGGCTCCCAGGGGGGGGGGCTGGGGGGGGGCTGGGGGCTGGGGGTGGTCTGGGGGTTGGGGCTGGGGGCTCCCAGACCCCCAACCTTCAAACGAGAACCCTTCTGCTACGCATTCGGGAATATAAAAAATAGTGGGCCCCAAAACCCTACTCTAATTATCACGGCCCCTATAATTAGGAACCAGAGCCTTGATAAGGCCCGTAAACCTTTCGAAGAGTAACCCCAAACCCTAAACCCTAAACCCCCCAAACCCCAAACCCCAAACCCTAACGCGTGGAGACCCAAAGGGTGTCAACAGCTCAGGCTTCTAGGGCCGGGCTCAGTGCGAGGTTTATGGTTTACTACGCGGTTTAGGGTTTAGGGTTTTGGGGTTTTGGGTACACCTGAACACTATAGATTCGCATACTAATCACGGATCAGCACTGAAGCGGCCACAGGGGCTGCGAAACCTCGTGTCGTGGGGCATGCTATAGTGTGTGAAACCCAGAAACCGCATTGCGCATAGTCCTGAACTGTACTAACGTCTTTTGGTTGCCTTATCCCTACTTAGACCCTCCAACGCAGTTGCTTATTTTGGCTGACCGGGTTTGTGGTGAAGTTCCTGCAATAGAAAAGCTCGCAGAATGTAAGTGACCCTAGGCGTCCAAAGGACCCAATGATTGGGTACTTGGTTTTAGGATAGTAGTTCGTAGGTTAGTCTGATGATTATGAGGTACTCCAACCGTTCAAGTGAAACACAGCCCAAAACCCTAAACCCTGCATAGAACCCTAAACCTAAACCCAGAGGGAAAAACCTGCATAGAGCTGCTGCGAGTGCGCCTCCGAAAGCCACACCGCTGAAACCCAGGACGAGGATCTGCTCAGCTTGGTGACCGTCGAGACGCTAGACTCAAAAGAGATAGGGTGGAGGTCAGCGGAGGTGTTAGGGTGTGGGGTTTGCGGGTTTCAGAGTTTAGGGTTTACGATCACGGCTTTATAGAATGTACATTGCTACCCGAGAGCCCGATTGTGGAATCTAGAAATCAGGTGTTCTTTCTACACCATGCTTATTGCCAGATGTTCTTCCTCAGAGTGGCTTGTTCATGCCTTCCCGATGCTCCCAGACATGCAACCCGAAATACATGAGTTGTTGGTGGAAGCTGGCGCTAAAGCGACGTAAAGTCTACCCCTTCTTTCTATCATACACCCTGCACAACCCTAAACCCTCAACACTAGACCCTAAACCCTAAACCGTACCCGACCTTGCAGAGGCTGTTGTCCTGATCTGCTGGAACTTGACCCAGGACCTTGCGAGAGCTCGGGGCCTTCCGCCAGAAGGCCAAGGACACCTGGCGAGGCATAGGGTTTAGGGGGTTTGAGGGTTTTGGATTTAGGGGTCTTGGGTTTAGGGTTTAGGGCCGCGTAGGGTGTAAGGTTTGGAGCTTAGTGTTTGGCGTTTAGGACTTTTGGAGTCTAGGGCGTTATTGTATCAACTCGCTTTCCATGATGCCTATCACCTGAATATCCTTAGGGTTAATTTATCATACTGTTCAGACTATCTGTATTGATCGTTGCTGCTGAATGTGGGATTATGTTAATGCTGGTGGCGATTAGTAGTATCACTCTTAGTCTTGTGGCTCGTGCGGTAATTACGAGATGGAGGAAGGGGTGCTTCCGTGAGTCTTTGCAGGACAGTACTGAGTACTGTTTGACATCGGCACGTATCAGGCTGCTGAAATCGTATCGATCCAAAAGCCGAGTCGGCAAAGAGTGGTTAGTGGTTGCAGCAGCCGGATTTATATGAAGATTCCTCGGCCGTTTGAATGCGTCCTGCGACCAAAATGGTCATCTCGAAAGCAGCTCTACATTGTCCTGCACCTTATACCCGGAAGGCCCATGGAATTTCCCGATCTGCAGGAGGAGAACGACCAGCGAAGTGCAGATTTCCACTACATCAAGCGAGGCAGCGTTTCTTGGCGATGAGGTTCACCTTTCGTACCACTCCAAGCGACCTTAAGTCCAAAGTAAGCACTGGCCCTGACAATACCAAAGCCTTTTAGTCCTAAGTATGCTTGCATGCTTGCAAAGTTTAGAATTCTGCTCAGGTTTTGGAGCATGCCGTAGAGGTGCAGCGTGGCCAGCGCGTTTCTTGGAAGTTCGCCCCTGGGATTGCAGTGAGCATGTGGGGCCGGAAAAGGGCTGGTGGTAAAACAGGGCTTTCAGTTTTTGGTGCTTAAAGTTTGGTGTAGGGTTCGAAAGCTGCGTAGTTTCTGTTGGCTCATGACCCTAAACCCTGAACTGCCTGGCTTTATGAATTGGGTTGAGTTTTGGAGACCCGACACCTGAACTCGGCTCCTTTTTTTGACTTGTTGGCCCTGAGTGTGATGCATGTCCACATGGCCAAATCGTTCACAGTTCACAGCCAGAGCTTTACACCAGATTTTCCAGCCACTCCTTTCGCCATGCAGAGTGCCTTGCAAGGCCTACCCGAAACCTGAAACGCTTGTCTTGCGATGCCCGATCTTCAAGCAGACCAAACTTCCTCAACCCTACACGCTGAACTTTCCGAACCACTGTAAACCCTCTTAAATGCCGACCCTGGCCATCAACGACAACGACTCAGTGCAGGGTTCTTGGCACCCAGGGTTCCCTTTTGGGACCCTTTTTTGGGTCAATGCGATAGTAATATAGGAGCCTTAATAATTAGAATGGAGTTTGGGGGGTATATCATGCTATAATTATAATAAGGAACCCCCAAAACCCTATTCTAATTCTCAACGCCCCTACTTTAAGTCAGGATTGAAGAACCTACTGTTGGGGGTTCAGATTGACGTCTGACATTCGCAGATCGTCTTGCCTGGTGGGCCGATGCTTCCACCACCCGAGGCCGAAGGGCTTCATGGGGGGGAGATTTATAGGGCTTAGGGCTTTGAGGCTTCATCAGCTGGGATACTAGGCTCGCAAGATGGTTGTGTTTGGAGTTTGGAACAACTTGGATATAATATAAGTATCGTCTATTTGCTATCGACGCACCTTGGATTCCGAAGCACGGAATCGGAATACCCTGCCCTGACAGGGACAGCCAGTAGAGTCACTAGAGTCTCTATCAAGCCTGACACCTCACGGCAGCAGACATTCGAACGTAGATCTGGTATCTACGGTAATGCATGTGCACGTAGGGTGTCCTCGAATGCAAAAGACGGTAAGCACCGAAAGGCTCACGAGGCTTAATACTGTGGCAGAGAAACGAGTACCCACTTTTCTACAAGGGCTTAGGGGGTCCTAGATCCAAGCACCTTGGGAGGTGGACTTCGGGGTTGTGGCCGTCTGGGATGTTCCCGACGACTCTGCTGCCATGCCTTCCCGCGCCTTGCCGGACAGGGATACCCGATATCCTAATCGAAGCCTTCCAAGCCGTGCGCCGAAAATGCTCAAAACCCTAAACCCTAAAAAATGCTCAACATCTTCGCTCCGCAAGATGCTAAAATATTATTATACAGGCAGCAATAACCTGAGCCCTAAGGCCCTAAGCCTTAAACCCTACACCATACAGATGGAGGGTTTTAAGATTCAGGCTTAGGGTTCAGGTTGGGATTCTGGATCCAGTTCTTGTGTTCTGGCTCGTTTAGGGTTGTTTAAACGCGTTATAGCAAGAACAAGGAGCCTCCTTTTTGTCGGGATGATCACTAATAGTATCCTGTGGCAATCCCTACATATTTGTCGCATCATACCCCCCTGACACACACACTCCCAAAAAACCCTATTGAAATTGCATTTGGGTAGTTCTCTAAATCAGGCCCCCTTGTCAGGGACCTAAAAGAAGTGGGCACCCTCATCATCAGAACCCTGAAAAGCACCCTAGTTTAGAGAACTACCCATACACAAAAACCCGCAGAAAACCCTCAGCCCTAAACCCTAAACCCTAAGTTGCAAGGCCCGCTCCCCGCACGATCCGCACACCCGCAACACGGAAACCTTCAAAGCCCTGAAGCCCTGCCCCAAAAGCCCTGAACCCCAAAAGCCCTAAAGACCTGAACTCTGAAGCCCTAAAGCATTGAACTCTAAAGCCTTAAAAGCCCTGTACTCTGAAGCCCTGAACTCTGAAACCCCAAAGCCTTCAGCTTTAAACCCCTGAGCTCTGAATCCCTGAGCCCAACAACCCTGACTGCACTATTCACCCGAATCTTTGAAGACACAAGTTACTTAGGGGCTGAGTAGGTAACCTTTAACCTTCAAGGGCTTATATCATCCTACTAGAACTCAAAAGGTTCACCTTTTTGGGGCTAGGGTACCCAGCCCCTGAGGTTATAAGCCAGACCTTGGCCTGGGTCTAGGGAGTCGAGGGTTCGGGTTTAGCTGCATCACCTATATGGGAGTGTCCGAAAATTGGAGGGGGGGTACCTTATTTTGGGGTCCTTAGAATAAGGATCCTACTTTTTAGGGTGCTATATCAGGGTCCCCTTATGTTTGGAAACCCCCCATATGACGTTCAGACTTTTCGATCCAGCTCCCGAGATTGGTGAACGCGAAACTAGGTGCAGCACGCGTCGTAACTGTGGGTTTGATCGCATGTACCTACCGCCAATGCGATACAATAAGAGAACCCCAGTATTCTAGCGGACCAGCTTGTCAACGGCGGAACCCTGAACCCTCTAGGAAGCCCAAGGCCCATCGGCACCTGCCCCCGTCCGAGGCACGACGGCTCGGCAGGCCTTTACCCCAAAGTGTGGGTTAAGTGTGTTTGGGGTTTAGGGCGCCGGACTTGATGACGAAAAAAGGGCCAGGTGGGCCTGGACAAGACTTTGGACAAATTAGGGCTTATAGGGTGTATTATGTCACAAGTTTAGTGGTTTAGGGTATGGGATTCGGTTGTTTGAGATGAATGTACAACGTAGATTGAAGATGAAATGTAGCTGCACGTTTCAGCACATGACGTTTAAGCACGTAAACCCTAGATTTCAACGCAGCGGAGAAAATTGAGGGGGGTTGCTGTAATCGGGTCTTATATGGGTCTGTTTACGCTAAACCCTAAACCATAAACCCTAAACCGAGGGACTTGAAGAAGGGGCCACGAGTACACGGTTCAGGGTTTAGGGTTTAACGAGACCTACGACCACCACACCACAACTACCCCTCATTATGGGAGCCTAAGTAGGGTTTAGGGTTTAGGGGTTCAGGGGTGTTTGGGGCTCTGGGTTGCCCGGAACCCAGAAGCCAATAAAGAAAACCGAGGCCCTCAATGCTGTTCGGGCGCCGCCTCAATATTTCTAAACCCTAACCCTAACCTGTCAGGTACCTACTTTATAGGATACTAGAGCCCCTAGGGCCCTTTTTATAGTAGATACCTGGGGGGTTAGGGCTAAGCCGTGGTGCCTTCCAGGAAGGACCCAGGCACTCACGGAAACCTTGGCGGACCCGCAGACGGATGGAAGGCTTTGAACAACTCTTCTTTAGAGCATTACCCATCGGTTTATAGTAGTTCCTTTTTGTGGCTTATATTGAGGATCCTATTAGGTAATCCCAAAAAGGAACTTCCATGGGGCCTATGGGTGCCCACATGAAACCACAACTGACAAAACCGTCAAACCCCGGAACCGCCAGAAGGAACGCACGGGCATGGTCGTGGAGGATGGCAGTGCGGTGGATTTGGTGTCAAGCTCTTTGGCGTTGACCCCCTAAGCCCCTAAACCCTAAACCCTAAACCAGTTGACTCTGGTTAGGGCTTTTTGGGTTGAAGTCGGCTGCAAGGCTTGTGAGTCGATTTGAGCTGCAATTCCTCGTGGCTGAGTAGGTATGTGACCCTGGATCAGAAAACTTGGGCTCTCTACCCGTCTCCCAGCATTGTAGTGCTGTAGCACCCTTGTGCCCTTTCTTGGTTGAAGCCTCCTTGTCAGGACAGGATAATTGGAAACAAGAAAGGGGTAGTCAGCTCTGAAGCACAAGACAGGTTCCGGTTTAGACACTGGGCAGGGTACTTCAGGGCTTTGGGGTTTTGGGTCTTGGGTTTAGGGCCTTGGGCTTTGGGGTTTTGGGTTTCGGGGGTTGGGATTCCAGGGTTTGTCCCACCTCCTCGCCCCCTTGCCGAGCATGGGGGGGTCGAAACAACCAATCTTCCTTGATCCGCCGAAGGGCCTAAATAATTACCAATACTATCGTTTGGGGGGTCTGGGGGGTTCCTTGTTATAATTATAGTAGACTGGGCCCCAAAACCCTCTTATTATTAAGGCCCCTGTAAGCTTCGAAACCCACGTTAAACCCAGTCGGAAGGCCCGAGACTGGGTTCAGCCCCAAGACCTTTCGCAAGCCGATTCCAAAACCACGGTTTATAGAAATTGTTAAGGGTTTGGGTGCCAATAGGTTTTGACTGAAAGTTTTGACCGAGTTTTGGTTTTTGGAACCTGATTTTGACTTTGGTGGCTGCGTCCCGACCGAAAAAAATGTTTCCGGGTGGCCAACAGCAACAAGCTATTTCTATTTGTTTCTTTCTTGAGGGTTTAGGGTTTAGGGGTCTAGGGTTAGTAATTTCGTTCTGTGTTTGGCCTTGTTCAGAGAACGGGTGCGACACGTCCAGGCGGGATTAACGCAAGCCTGTGCAAAAAAGGGGTTTAGGGTTTTATAAGAAGCCCCTGCATCTTCGCCTGAGCACCGAGCACTGCCCTGAAGTTGGCGGTTGCCGCAACCTGCAGGTCCCAGCTCTACCCATAGGTTTCGTAGTAGTTCCTTTTTGGGATGACCTAATAGGATCCTAAATATAAGCCACAAAAAGGAACTACTACGGGGCCTAAGTTCCTTTTTGGGATTACCTAATAGGATCCTACATATAAGCCACAGAAAGGAACTACTATGGGGCCTATGGGTAGACAAGGCCCTTTGGAAGCTTACCGGTAATTAGAGGGGATAGCGTTGAACCGCAGCCCTACATCCCAACGTCTAGGCTAGCAGAGACTTAGACTTTAGGGTTTAGAAGCATTTGGGGTTTCTCGGGGGGCGGGGGCGTTGAACTGTGCTCTTTGGGACTCTTAGGCTTTTAGGGCTGTCTTGGCTGGTTTCGGGGCAGAGGATTCAGGGTGGTCATAAGAATCACACTTCGGGTTAATTAAAGGTTTAGGCTTAGGGTTAAGTGTTGAAGGTAAACACCTATGCGTGCTGAGGTGAGGCGGACGAGGTGGATGACTACCAGGGGCTGCAAGAAGAGGCAACCCGTACACCCTATACCTGTGGGGTTCAGCACTCATGCTTCTGCCTTCGAACGCTATATAGGTCTGAATAATTCCTACTGGTATCTTTGTACAGTCCTTTTTATTTACCACATTTTGATACACCACGGAACCTTTTTCGAATAGTGAGACTGTTATGGTCAAGTTCTGGGTTGGGGCTTTAGGCACTCGGGTTGGGATATCTACACCACTGAGAGTGCAAGCTGTTGTCGCCTGGAGGTGGCTTGGGAGCTGACCTGGTGAAGGTTTAGGGTTTTGGGTTTAGGGTTGATCTCTTCGAAGCAAGTCCGCAACGAGGCAGTACACCCTAAGTTCTAAACGCTGTAACAGCGACAGGGAGGAAAAGAGCCTTCCAAAAAAACTGCTAACGCACCAAGACGACAAAACCCTTCACACCCTGAACCGTATGCCTCCGCCCTAAAGAGTAGAAGAAGCATGCCCAAACCGTGGAGGGGTTGCTGCTTGTACCAACCTTGCCTTGGCAGAACCGCAGGAGTTGTGGGGAAGGGGGGTTGCAGGTGTAGGGGGCAAGGGCTTACAGTAGGGGAGCAGGCGGTTTAGAGTTAAGGGTTGGGTGAGTTCGGAATAGGATTTTGTGAGTGTGTTGGGTTTGCAACTCCGGGAGTAACAGTTTTGGCGAGGGAAGTTCGCCAGCAGGGCTTCATGTATGATTTTCAAACCCCCAATCCCGGAGTTTTGTTGCGAACCCCTGCTTCAGAATGGTTATTAATTCGTATGTCCTTACCCATAGGCCCCATAGTAGCTCCGTTCGGGGGCTCATATTTAGAATGCTGTGAGGTAATCCCGAAAAGGAACTACTATGGGACCTAGTAGTTTTTAAATGGCCCTGAACCCCAAATTCTCTTCTTGAGTTCGTCTTTAGTGCCCTTGATCGACGAACGCGCAAAAAACGCAGCTTTCGTGGTTCAGGGCTTTCTCTATAGAGTATCTCAGTTTGGATTTATGGTTTTAGGGTGTGCAGAGGATTATTCGAGTTTGCTCAAAGGGTTTGATTTGAAGCTTTTAGTCTCTATCGGCGGAGGTCTTGCGCGCTTTCAAGCGTTGGGGCACTGTCGACCTGGAAAACTCCGGCACGGTCACTGCACAGCAGCTGGGCTCTTGTTAAGGGGTTTATTTTAAGTTACTATAATAAAGACACCATTTGTTTTATTATAGATCCCTATTATGGTAGCTTGAAATTGAATCCCTGAACAAGAACCCAGGAAGTCTGGCATGGTCGTGCTGCGATGGAGCAACGAGCTTCTTGGCGGCGCTGCAGGGTTGCCTGGTTGGGGTGTACCTTTACCTCTAACAACGGACCTTTTATGGACTTACATAAGTGAATTATGATACGAATCCCTACAAAGGTTTGTTTGTTCCGGGTCCAGGTGGGGTTTAGGTTTCATGGTTTGGTGTTTCGGGTTTGGTGAATGGCTTCTTCACTTCGAGGGGTCTTCCAGGAGAAACTTTCAAGTAAGGCCTAGGGTCCGAAACCTACTGTGAACTCAACTTCGAAAAGCCTATATACCATGAACAACCAAATAAGGCATATACCATGAACCACCAACAAGGCAGAACACCGCGCAAGCGAAGGCAGCCGCAGGCATGGCCCTACAGGCATACCTGCTTGTGATTAGTCTTGGTCGCCATCAGTGGCCATCTAGATTTGTACCACCACCGCTGTCACCGCCCAATCACAAACTTGTTCGCCAACATGCCACTATCAACAGCATCTTTCAGACGTATCTTGTTCTTCTCCACGCAAGGAGTGTCACGATCTGCTCTGCTTCTTCTTCTTCTTCGAAGAACCCTAAACCCTCATCTCTAAACTCTAGGCCCTGAACCCCGAACCCTATCTCCGGCGTGCGCCAAGGTTTAACCTCATTCGTGCGAAGCGTGTGCAGTTCGAAGTCGTCAGCGGAGATGCGAAGGCAAATCAAGGGGTCCGAGGTCGGGTTTAGGGTTTAGGGTTTAGGGCCGCAATCACGGCGACGAATCGAGCTTTTAACTACAGATGCTTCAATCAAGCAGGCGACGTGGTATGTAGTTTATAGGCAAGTATGACGGACAGCTAATTATAACTAGAACAAAATGCAGCCCCGTTTCCGCACAAGTGAGGATCCTGCGATGACTCAAGCTCTTTATTTGGGCCCCTCTTTCTTCTGCAGCCCCCACTGAATGCATTTGCTATGTCCCCGCCCTAACCCTTCAAGCCCTGTAACACCCACTCCTAACCCTACAGAATTAAAAGCCCCCCTTTAGGGAGGGTCTAAAAAGTAGATCCACTAATTGAGGACCCTAACTGGGTACTTTATAGAAACCCCCTTTTGGGGATCTATTTTTTGGATCCTCCCGGTGGTCTGGGAAATTGAAGCTTGCAGGCTCCGGAAGAGACCGTAAGTGGCGGGGACACGACCTGACGAGCGCTGGCTGAAATTCCGGAGTTTAGCTTACGAGTAAATGCGCAGACTATACATAAAGCCTGGAAGGGATTTATGGCTCACATCCGTTCTAGGATTTTGAGTATAGGCTTGAGCACCCTCTGCATTAAGGGGGCATTTGCTCCTTAACCCCAGAGCATCTTAAAACCTTTATAAACCCAAAGAGCGCTGGTATTCCCAGCCTTCCCTTTGACTGCCGTTTTGTGGCCTTAGGTTCCTTATGGGACTACCGAAGACCAAAAGGGGATTCCTTGAACAATTCCTGGATTACTGGAAGTCCCCTGCATTCTTAGTGGTCTTAGCCGGGTTTTCGCAGTAGGGTTCCTGTGTGGCCCGGAGTGTGGCGAGTTCGGTGGTCGCATGGTGTTGTAGTTTAGTGTTTGGGCTACCTTCTTGAACGAACAGGTAGCACAAGGTTGTCGGTTCCAACCGGTGTGTTGCCATTCAGGAGTAGACGTTACGCTGAAACCCCAAAAAACCCTGTGTTCGAAGCCTTTGTTCCCCTAGGCGCCGCACCCTCTGGTAGACCTTGAAAGCCCGTCTCGATATCCGCCATACACCTTGCATTTCAGTACCTAAGTTTTCAAGTATCGCAAATGATCTCCTTCTTGCTGACGGTTGCAACCCTAAACCCTAAACCATGGCTTTTCAAGGATCGAAGATCTGGGTTGGTTTTGGGGCTGTGTTCGAGCAACTTGCATCAGCAAAGGACGCGCCGACAGACTCCTGATCTGGCTGGTCCGAGCTGTTGGAGTTCAAACTCAGAAGTGGTGGGGTTGGGTGTCAAGTTCAGGGTGTGTGTGTGTGTAAAATATGTGTGTGTGTATATATGTATATACATAAAGCCCACCTGACTTGGTAAGTAAGGCTACAATAGTTATAATTAGGATACCTACTCCAGTGAGGGGACTTCTAACCCAATTGTAGCCCAACTTACTAAGTCCCTTGAGCCCTTAAGTAGACCTATACTATGCATTACAACCCTATTTACGAAGTGGCCTGAGCCCTTAGGTAGAGACCCCTCGCCGAAACCCAGCGAAGCCGAGCAAAGTTCGATGTCAGTCGCTGGACAAAGCTCTAAAAGCATGGCAAAAGGCGGCGCGTGGTCTATGCAGTGTGAAGCTTGAGCGCCTAGGGGATCTAATAGCTGGGGATCCAAAATCCTACCGTTTTAAGGGTTCTACCCACCAGAAAAGGTGTCAAACCTACTATTTTGTAGGGTCTGGGGTCACAGGTAAGGGTTCCTTTTAAAGGGATCTAGGAGGGATTCATTATGTGGGCCCCCAGAGGATTCCTGGGCTTAGTAGGGTTGGGTTGCTGGGGGGTTCAAACGAGTTCAGGACGAAGGATTTTGCCCCGCCCTTGTAGCTAGCAGGTGGTGACGAAGGCTATTTTGGTGCTCATTCACTCCTGTAGTCATGACCACCCGTACTTTCGTTATCCCACTGCTACGTCTTCTTGCAGCTATCTACATAGGCTTCGTGGATATTCCATTGCGACGAGAGCTTTGCAATGGCTACTACCCAGCCATCGCAAGCCCTCCACCCCACCAAACTCACCCAGCTCTAGACTCTAAGCCCTAGAAAGGTTTGAGGTTTCTGGCCGCAAAAAGGTTTAGGGAGATGAACCTCCTATGCTCAGATTGTCAGGCGATTGCACAAGTCCTGATGCAAAAAGGGATTAGTGTAGGGGCCTTAATAATTAGAATAAGTTTGGGGGGTCCATTATACTATAACAAGGACCCCCCAAAACCCTATTATTATTATTATTATTATTAGTATTGTTATTATTAGTATTATTATTATTATTATGAAGGCCTCTATATTAGGGAACCCAAAACCCTTCCACCCTAAGCCTTGGACTTTGCCTTCCAGCTTTAAGACTGAAGCTCCTGGAACCCTTCATCTACCGAGGCAGATACATGCAGCGTCGCCGTTCCGGCAGTCGCCCCCGGTCCCACTTAGGAGCGCACTGCGGGCTTCGGTGCGTTAGAAATCAGTCGGGGTCTATAGTGGAGGGTTGGTAGAGTCTACTGGGTTACGATTCCAGGATTTTACGGTCGGTTTCCTGCAGATGGCCGTGGCCTACGGAGGGTTGCAAGATTCAGAGGCTTGCGGTTGAGGCACTCCATGCGACAGAAGCAAATGCCACAGGCTGCAATTGCAATATATAAGTACGAGTGTCCCCTTCGAATCAAGACCTTTTGATTTTAGTAAACAAGAGCCCTTCTCCTATGCATCGCATTCTCCTACACATCCCGAATGAACTTTCTGAACCCGTGGCCTTTAATTGCTTTAGTCTCGTTCCCTAAGCAAGGCAACACCTCCATCCTAACATCCAAGCCCTTTAAACCCTAGTAAACCATAACCTAAACCACTAAGCCGCCCTAAACCCTGCAAACCCTAAACCCCTAAACCCTAAACTCCTAACCCCTAAACCCTAAGCCCTAAACCCTAAACCCTAAACCCTAGACCCTAAAGCCTAAACCCTAAACTCCTAACCCCTAAACCCTAAGCCCTAAACCTGAACATAAAACCCCACCCTAAACCCTAAACCCTAAACCCTAACCCCACACCAACGCGGCCCGGGCTCCTAAACTCCCTGACCCGAAGCCCGGAAGGACATCGGGCCCTTCCGCCACATCTGCTACTTCGAGCCGGAGGTCGAATATTACAGGGTTTAGGACCTTAGGTGTTTAGGCTTTAGGGGTTTAGGTGTTTAGGGGTTTAGGGGTTAGGGTTCAGGGTTTGGGGTTCAGGGTTTAGAGTTCAATTGAAAATCGCCAGTATTAATGATTTCACGGCTGTGGCAGGGCTTCGGTGGGCCTGAGGCTTTCCTTGCAGGGCTCTGGAAAGCGCTTTCGGATTTGGTGTTCGGATGTTCAGCTTGAGGGCCTAATCCTAAACCCTAAACCCTAAACCCTAAACCCTAAAACCCCAGAGCCCTAAAACCTAAACCCTAAACCCAGGGCTTGCTAAAGGTTTAGGGCAGTTTAGGGTTTTGGGTTTGCCGTTGTTGCTTAGGGGGCTAGTTTACTGTGTAGATCGTCGTCGCCCTGGCTTGAAAGTGGTATGAGGTTCACACTTCGACAGGATAAGACAAGAAGGATGGCTTTCGGGTTTAGGGTTTAGGGTTTAAGGTCGACAGGATAAGGCAAGAAGGATGGCTTTCGTGGAATCGACGTCCGATGATTCTGCACGGTGCAGCTCTTCTGCACGCAAGGATCCACAATAACTCATGGCACGTGAATTCGTAACCGCATTGAGGATGAAACGCTAAAACGCTAAACCACAAGGCGAGGACGGAAAGCACTGTTGCACTAAACCCTAAACCCTAAACCCTAAACCTTAAGCACCCGAAACTCCGGAAGGATTATGGTGTATTTCTAATTATTATGCTAAATGCAGGATTTGTACCATCAACCGCAGTAAGGTGGTGGCCGGAAGAATTAATGCTTGGTGGTCTGTGCTAGGGCTTACCTGGACCCTATTTTCTACGGCTCCTTGTTATGATTTCCCTATGTAAGTCCTTAAACCTGTGGTTGTTTGGGGTTAAGGCATTCCTTGAATGGAGTGTCAGGAGTTTAGACCGTCAGCAGCACTTGCTGCGAAGGAGGGAACGCCTTCACCCTGACGAGAGTCTTTTGATGAGTTACTGTTCCTTGGTCACTTAGCCTGTGGTCCAGGGTACAATGTGGTCGCATTTCAGGACATAAACCCTAAACTGCCCTAAACCTGAAACCCTAGACCCTAAACCCTGAACCGTGCATTTCAGGACATCAACCCTAAACTGCCCTAAACCCTAAACCCTAAACCGTGCATTTCAGGACATAAACCCTAAACTGCCCTAAACCCGAAACCCTAAACCCTAAACCCTAAACCGTGCATTTCAGGACAGAAACCCTAAACTGCCCAAAAACTGCAACCTTAAAAACCCTAAACCCTAAACCGTGCATTTTAGGACATAAACCCTTAAACTGCCCCTAAACCCGAAACCGCTCATCCGCTGCCGAAAGCCGCTTGATCTCCCAGCAGGGACCAGGTGCGGCGGACTCTTCGCGGATCGACCTTCCGAGTCGAAGGTTTCTGGGCTTTGGAGTTTAGGGTTTAGGGTTTAGGGTTTGGGTAGGGTTTAGGCTTTAGGGTTTAGGGTTTAGGGTTTAGGGGAAGGTTTCTGGCTTTGGAGTACCATACTTTAAGGGGCTCAGGGGTTTAGGGTTTAGGGTTCAGGAGTGCCGTACTTTAAGGGGCTCAGGGGTTTAGGGTTTAGGAGTGCCATACTTTAATACTTTCTTTTGGGACCTGTTCCTTAAAGGAACCATTATGAAATAAAGTCTATACCTTTTTTCTCCCTGGTTACTTCAAAGCCCAGGTTTTCACCGGCCGCAGGATTTAAAGTGCCATGGAATGCACGGTTTTGGCCAAACCTTGGGAAGTGATCCCCGACCCCCGGCAGACCCCGGCGGGTCATGCAGCCACCCTGGGATCCATGTATGCCTGCGCCGTGGCTTCCCTCGTCTTTGGTCTGTTTCTCATGTGCACGGTGAGAATGAGACCTCCTACATGTTGGGACACGGATGAAGATGAGGTCTTAACTTATCGGATCGAGGACTCGGACAACCTCCACGAGCGCTTTTACATCCTCTCTACTTTGGGGTATCTCATAGCCGGGCTTGCCACGCAGTTTTACCCGGGTGATATGAACTGGGCCATCCAGATCAGCAAGGTGCCTTAAGGACGAAATAACCCTTAAAAGTAGGGATCCTATACCCATATACTATGAATCTCTTTATGGTATATGAACCCTAAACCCTAAACCCTAAAACCCTAAACCCTAAACCCTAAACCCTAATCGTCCTTAAGGTGGTGATCATCCTGGCATGGAGCTGCCTCGTCCTCGCCAGCTGCGGAGCAGTAGAGGCCATGGGCGCAGAGAAGTGTCTCTACGTAACTTGGTTGAACTTACCTTTTCTGGGGTGCCTTATTGTGGTTTCTATACATAGTTTAGGGTTTATAGGGTTTAGGGTTTAGGCTTTACAGTCGCTTTATAGCTTTATCACTCTTAGGATTAGCCTTTTTTGATACTAGGGGGGGTACTAAAAGTTATAATTTTGGCAAGGTAATAAAGAGCAGCCCAGGTAATGTTTCGGATACTGGGGCTGGTTGTGGTACTCGCCGGTTTGGTTGAAGTGGTGATCCCAGGGGACAGGTACTTCCAAGGCTTCATGTGGAGTCTGACTGCCATGGCCTTGGTCTGTGTCTTCGCATGGTTTGTGGTGTTGCAACACGACCACCCCAAGAAAGGGGAACGCCGTGAGTGCGGTCCCTCGGCCGTTTTCCGCGTGCAATTCCATATCTTTGCAGCGGCGAGCTTCGCATTCGTTGCGATGACGGAGCCTCATTGTGGCTACGCAGGGCATGCTACCTGCTATGGGAACTGCTTTTCGCATGGCGCACCAGGTCCACATTTCCCGTTTTCGCTCATACCGTTGATGTTCTTCTACCTCTCCCTACCCGTGATGCAAGGCTTCCATCCTTACCCTTCGGTCGTTCCAGACATCCCCTGGCCCTGTTGCTTTGTCGTCATAGTTGGGTCACATTTCTGATGTTTATGACTTTTTATGCATACTGAAACCCAAGGAGGAGTAATGAGAAACTTGAGTTTTCAATATAACCCTAAACCCTAAGCCCTAAACCCTAAAATCCTAAACCCTAAACCCTAAACCCTAAACCCTAAGCCCTAAACCCTAAAATCCTAAACGGTGGCCATGACTAGGTTGGCGGGACTCAGTGACTGAGCCAATTGAACCAGCTCCAGCAGAGCAGGTGCCGCCATCTGTTTTGGGGCAGGATGCTTGGCTTCGGGTTTAGGGTTTAGGGTTTAGGTGTTTAGGGTTCAGGGCCTTTAGGTGTTTAGGGTTTAGGGTTCCGGGGTTTAGGTTAGGGCCTTTAGGGGTTTAGGGTTTAGGGGTTTAGGGTTCAGGGCCTTCAGGGGTTTAGGGTTTAGTGGTTTAGGGTTTAGGGGTTCAGGGCTCTTGGGGTTTAGGGTTTAGGGGTTCAGGGCTTTAGGGTTTAGGGGTTTAGGGGTTCAGGGCGTAGGGTTCTGTAGGGTTCAGAAGTCAGCCAAGGATGAGGAAGAAGCAAATTCTGCAGAGCCAGTACCTTGAGTGCCGTCGTTGCGCTGCGAGGAGATGCAGGGAAGCCATGACAAGCCATGAGCAGTCCCACCTGAGATGCGCCTGGACTCTTTCTCATCACGCGGGCTTATGTTTTACATATCCTGCGCCGAGGTCGAGGACATTTTCAGGGAGCCTTTTAGAAGCTCTATATACCTTATAGCAGCCGTATAGAAGCCCTATATACCCCCTTTAACAAGGTGCCCTCAACAACTTTGCCTTGCCTTAGGCCGCGCAGGTTGCAGAGCATGAGCAGCGGGTTTAGGGTTTAGGGTATAAATAAGTCGTATGAATCATGAGTCTCACCTCTGGGTGAAGCATGCCCACTCCAGCGGCTGACGGTACAAATCCTGCATGACCCTGCGCACGCGAAGCTACAGTATTCACAGTACTCTGCAGGTTCGGTCATGCAGGTTCTATCTCATGAGCAGTGTTGTCTCTGGGAAATGTATTCATGGCCCAGCGGGCCTAAACAGAAAATATACGGTTTTCGAGCACTATGAATAAAGGTAATGGTTCGGAATGATGTTGCGAATTTTTCAGGCTTCTACAGATTTGCGGATGCTCTCCTGCTATCCCCTACACTCCACCGCTCGCACTTGCGGTTTCACTTCTCAGACATGCTGAGATGCCCCATTAAAGCAAGGAGCACGGCTGAGCTGAAGCCGAAATGTGCCTGTCGATATGAACGGTTTAGGGTTTATAGGGTTTAGGGTTTAGGGTTAAGCAAATTCCATCTCACGTTCCCTGTAGGTCCGAAGCACAGACTGCCGCTGGTAAGGGGGCACTTTAGAAAGTTTAGGGTTTAGGGTTAGGGTTTATTGTTTCATCTTGCTCCTCGCTCACATATTCCATGACCGGATGAAAGCGAATGCAGATCTACATGCCTGTGTAGAGTATTTCCTTAAGGTGCACACAAGCGCACACATCTGTGCAGGCATAGTGTGTATGTATGTATATATATATATGTTTGTTTATTTGTTTATTTATTTATTTATATGTAGGCTTTTGTACTCCCAACGGCACACACGCAGATAGGGACGTGAAAGACATGTGGGAAGATTGACGATCTGATGGGTAATTTGATGGCTCTTGTAGGGTCGCCGCACGGGTTTAGGGTTTAGGGTTTAGGGTTTAGGGTTTAGGCTTGCGTCCCAGTCCCCCATCCCCAAGATGCCAAGAGTCTTTCCCTAAGGCTCCATGTACCCATATAGTAGATACTTAGGCCTTAAAGTACCTGTATAGGGACCCCTTTACGGCCTAAGTATCTACTATAAAGGTACATGGAGCCTATGGGCGTGTTGGCCAGCCGTGCTTCTGCATTCCACGCAACCCGAGACGGTCAACGTTTTACAGAGTCGTGCCTTTTTTGACCGCCTCTGCTCAGCCTGCACAACGTTGTACAGCATGCAGCTATCATTGCAAAGCTTGGATTGAGAACAAGTCCATATCGTAGCCCTACTGTCATACTTATGCCCCAAAAAGCCCTCAACCCTTAGCCCCAAACCCTTGGTACAAGCTCTGACCCTGAACTAAGACATTAAGCCCCTAGCTGCAAATTGGAGCATCTGCATACTAAACCCTTAACCTTAAACCCCCCTAAACCCTAAACCCTAATCCCTAAACCCTACACCCTAAACCCTAAACCCTAAACCCCATCACACTATTTCCTCTGAGCTCCTCGGGCTTAGGGTTTAGTAAAGGATGCTGGGTTCCTGGCTTTCTGGGGGAGACTTTCGGGGCGGCCGGGGTTTGGGATCTCACTACAAGGGCCCAGGATCCTGAATGTAGGGTTTAGGGTTTAGGGTTTAGGGTTTAGGGTTTATAATGCAGGGGCCTAAACCCTAAACCCTAAACCCTAAACCCTAAACCCTAAATAATTACCAATACCATTTTGAGGGCTCCTGATTTAGAATGTAGTATAATGGGCTTGTTTGTACACCTCCGGGGTCTCATAAAGCCCAGATGGCCCCTGCGAAAAAAGGCGCTTTCTTGCAGAGTTCTGGGTTTCCGATAAACCCTAAACCCTAAAGCCTAAACACCCCTAAACCCTAAAACCTACACACCCTAAACCCTAAACCCTAACCAACCCTAGAAACCTAAACACCCTAAACCGATGACGGCTGAGTTGCATCCGGAAGGAAAGGGAACCCCAAAAGCCATAACGGAGGATCCTGGACAGGTAGAAATACCAGGCTTCCCTACCATGATTCTGGCATAGAAAACCCTAAACCCCTGTGCAGATTACGACCCTCTATAGTATGGCTTATCATCCTTGAATCCCCCCAAAACCCTAAACCCCTTAACCCTAAACCCTTAAGCCCGAAACCCTAAGCCCCTAAACTCTAAGCCCCTAACCCCAAAAACCAAAACCCCAAAACCCCTAAGCCCCTAAACCCTAAACCCTAAGCCCCAAAACCCTAACCCCAAAACTGATGCCCTGCGCTCTAAACCCTAAACCCCAAAACTGATGCCCTGCACCTCAAACCCTAAACCCCTAAACTGATGCCCTGCACTTCAAACCCTAAACCCCTAAACTGATGCCCTGCACTTTAAACCCTAAACCCTAAACCCCAAAACCCTAAACCCTAAACCCTGAAACTGATGCCCTGCACTTCAAACCCTAAGCCCCTTAACTGATGCCTTGCACTTTAAACCCTAAACCCCTAAAAAGATGCCCTGCACTTTAAACCCTAACCCAAACCCTAAACCCCAAAACCCTAAACCCTAAACCCTGAAACTGATGACCTGCACTTTAAACCCTAAGCCCTACCAGTATCTAATAATTATATACTCTCCCAAATAGTAACCTACATAACTACTATCCGAAACCTAAGTACCTGATTATAGGGTTCTTTGGACCCTTGGGGCTATCTCCGTCGCAGGCCGCACTGCAAGAGTTGAGGAAACCAACTTCACAGGACAGCTCAAAGCGCGGAGCCTCTGATCATCAACGGTTTAGGGTTCAGGGCTTTGGGTTTGTGGTTTAGGGTTTAGGGTTTAGGGTTTATGGGACCTTTCCGGTTTCCTTTAAGGGGGTCTGTACGGGTTCCTTTCAGATTTCAGGCATCTATAAGGGTTCCGTTTTGGGATCTATGAGGGTTCCGTTAAGGGATCTATAGGGTTGCCTCTAAGGGATCTATAAGGCTTCCTTTAAGGGATCTATAAGGGTTCCTTTAAGGGATCTATCAGGGTTCCTTTTTAAGGGTTTGGGGTTCAGGGTTTAGGGTTTAGGGTCCGCTCGGAGGATCATGGGACTTAGCAAGACAGGTTAAAAGTACCTGAGTTGAGGTTATAAATTAACTAGGTTTTCGGATTTAGGTTTAGGGTTTAGGGTTTAGGGCTACTAGGTTGGCTTTTGGGACATTTTGTTTATTTCCTTATTTGGGTTTGTAAGGGGGCCCTTTAGATAACTATTTCTCAGAGGGTTTAGCGGAAAACCCAGATTAACTACAAGTAGCTATTATAGCTACCGTATTTAAATCCCTAGTTACAAAGTCCCATGATCCTGTAAGTGGGGCTGAGGTTTCATTCATAGCACACCGTATAATTACAATAGGGAGCCCTTGGCAGTAACATCGGTGGTAATTCAGGCAGCTCTTAAAATACAACGAAACCCTAATTTAGGAGCCTAAGTAAATACCGGAGTTCACGTAGTATAATGGGCCGCAGAACCCTGTTCTAAATATTGAGGCCCCTAGGGTAGTCCAAATATTGAGTGATGGCTTTTCGTGCAGGTTGTGGTTGGGGCTTCCCAGTTGCCTTGTGCATTCGCATGAGTGCCTCTGTCTCTTTGGTCGGGTGTAGGACTGTAGGAGTTGCTGTTGGGGGTTGTGGAGGGTGTGTGTGTGTGGGGGCCTCAATGGATGTCTTCCTCGTGTAGTAACGGGTTTGTAGCATAGCGGGGTTTTTACATTTCGAAGTTTCAGGGGCCTGCAATCACGTGGTCTCGTAGCGTTACTAACTTTGCTGTTCTTCTGATTTCCTAGTTCAGTGTTGCAAAAGAGTGCATACCTGAAGCATGACCTGTTCAATGGCATGTGGAATCTTGTTCAACATCATGCTGTGCCAGTTTCGAAGACGTGCCATGAATGGAACAACAGCCTGGATGCCGGGTTCAGGGTTTAGGATCAAAGTCTTATATGTAGGGCTCTGAATAAACTGTATCTTGCGGTTCCCTCATATCATATAGGACACGCAATCAACGGGCACCCGGCTCCCAGACGTAAGCTCTGCACCCAATGCTTCTCAAACCCTTTATGCTGGTAGACATTTGTAAACACCTTTGCAGTAGAGGTCGATTTGGGGGAAGCTATGATTCTGTATACATTCAAGTAAATCAAGGAATCTGGCCTCTTGGGATTCGAGCACTCCAACCCTAAACCCTAAACCCTAAACCCTTACACCCGAAACTCTAAACCCTAAACTCCTCAACACTAAACCCCTAAACCCCTAAACCCCTAAACCCTAAACCCTTAAACTCCTAAACCCTAAAACCCCTAGACCCCTAAACCCTAAACCCCTAAACCCTAAACCCTTTAACCCCTAAACCCTAAAACCCCTAAACCCCTAAACCTTAAAATCCCTAGACCCCTAAAACCCCTAGACCCTAAACCCTTAAACCCTGAACCCTAAACCGCTAAACCCTAAAACCCCTAAACCCCTAAAGCCCCAAAACCCTAAAACCCCTAGACCCCAAACCCCTAAACCCTAAACCCCTAAACCCCTAAACTCTAAACCCTAAACCCCTAGACCCTCAACCCCAAAACCCCTAATCACCAAAACCCCTAAACGCTAAAGCCCTAGACCCTAAAACCCCTAATCGCTAAACCCCTAAACCCTAATCCCCTAAACCCTAAAACCCCTACCTTAAGAACCAAAATCCACTTTTTTGTAGGTTCTTATTATAAACCCTAATATCGGATTTATAGGGACCCTACGAAAAAGTAGGTTTGGGGTTCTTAAGGTAGACCCCGAAAACAGGGAAACGA